TTGTATATTAAATTTTTGAAAAGATCTAAAAGGGATTAAGTTAGGAAATAAAATTGTATTTGGTATAAATTTAATAATCCTTAAATATAGTGATTCCACTAAAATAGTTGTGGATTTGACAGTCGTCTCGAATAAGAGCACAAAATCAGTGATTATTTGATGCAAAACTCAAATCTCGAGAGAAAATTCTATTCAAACTAATAATAAAAAATAGAAAATGTTTTTTACTCACAAAATAGGATTTATTTTCCTATTAAAGCTATAAATACCTATTTTTAAAAAAAGTCCAAGAACCCAAAAAGGCACAAAAAATGAAATCAATTTTCAGTATAAGTTTTCATTAATTATTTCTATTCTAATAAATTGCTTTCATTCTGAAATTCAAAGTATTTCTAAATTAAAATGACAGCAATTTTATATAAATCCTAAACAAAGCCCTCGAAGTATATGCAGAGAGGATATGGTTTGGGTTTTGATGGCAAATGCAAACAAATCTTTCAACACATTTACGATTGTGTTTCTCTTATGAAATGTTTAGTCATTTTCTACAATTTTCAAACCATTTCTCGTTTTTCATATGAAGTGTTACTCGTATTTATTCGACGAAACAAATATTTAAATTGAAAAATATTTATTATTTTATTAATTTTATGGCAACTGCCGTCAGTTATCTTATTATAGCAGAGAGTCAATAATTAGCAGACAATTGGCAGAAAGTTATGAAAACTATTTTTGCTTTACAGCACAGAATTAAAAAATTTTAATAATAGAAATAATTTGATTTTCAGACTGTTTTAATTGTATTTTTGAAAAGTTTATTTTAACTAAATCCTCGCTTTAAATAACAATAAGGCCTACATTACTATTCAATTTATATTCTTATATATACGGAACTATACCATTTATAAACAAAAATATATGATATTTTAAGAATTCAAACAAAAATTTTAACACTTATATAAACAAACAATTTTTAATTTAAAACCTTTTAACAATAGATTGAAATCTAGATAAGATTATTATAATTTGTTTATATAAAGTAGAGAATCGTTTGTACAATTAGATGAATAACTATTTTAGTATTCAATGTCATCCATCATACAAATTCAAGCATTAATGAATGTCATAAAAATATACTTTTTATAAATAATTAAATTTTTCATTTATTCGTTGTGTTATGTTATGAGACAAATGTAAAAATGTTTCAACAAAATTAGATAATATTTCTCAAATTGTTTAATTTATTTATATCGTACTTTTTACACATAAAACATTTGTATAAGGGATTGTAGGGGTAAAGTGTGAATGACACGGATGATTATTGTGTTGATTTTAGAATTAATTCATTAGAAAAGCGATTGCATAAACCATATCTACTTTCAAAATTAATTAGTTTGATATTTGGTTACAAAAGGCACCTTAATATTGAATGATAAAACGGTAGAAATTAAGTCCCATTAATAATAATAATAATAATAATAATACAAAATATAATTTAGATCCTCCAAGTTTAGACAATAAACTTTAGTGACTGATATTAGACATTAGTTTAGTGACTTTTATCAAGTTTTATATTTCATTTAATTTTCTATTAAATTGCATCTCATTTCAGATAGTGTTCATTAGAGACGATTGTGGTTTGGATTCATTAATTACAATGTGGGATATTTCTATGTATGTGTTAATTGATATATGGTTTAAGATTAACTTGATATATTCAAAATTAAATGCACTGGATTTTAAAATGTGCTGGAAAATTTAATGGAAAATATTTGAAGTCTAAATTTAAAAAATATATTTACAAATTTATTATAAGATTTATTAAAAAGATTTTTTTTAATATTTCGAAAATTACTAAATTATTTCTAGAATATACCTAAATTGTTAAGAAATTCTAATTGTTAATTTATCTATTTCAATGTATCTGTAAGATAAATAAGGTGAAAGTAATATTTTCCATTTTTTCTTATATCCGATAGATCTTCATATAAATTTACTATACTTTGAATATGTGTGTTGAATATAAGGCATTAGTAGTGTTCGCATTTTATATAAGGTAAGAATCCAAAAGTGATTGATTATCTGTTCAATTAATAGAGTGAATGAATATAAATCGATGTCATTTGTATCCAAACTATTTAATACGAATTTTCTTAATCATAACTGTATTAATTGATCCATTAATCACAATAACTATTATGTATTAAATAAATTGAATTCATTAGCAAATTGACAATATTTATCAACAAATGATTGCAATCGAATTTGTACTGAAATTTATGCATGTGTTCATACAGTGACATCAAATTGTTTTCATACAATTAACTCACACTGTTCATACATACTGTATTTCACATGATACATCGTATTAAATAAGTTATTAAATATAAATATTATATATTATAAATTAATATTTACTAACGTCATTAAACGTGATGTTTAATTGAATACTTGAGCTTTTGTTTTCAATTTATCATTGTAAGTTAGTAAAATTTATCAGGTACATAAAATTTACATAATTAATGAAAGTCTTATTTTTGTTCAAGTTATCGAGTTATAAGTTTGGTATGAATTACTTATATAATACCAGCTATGTATTTTGTAAGAAAACTTTTTATAATAATAACAGCTAAAAAAGGATATTAATTTGAAAAATACCGTTAAATTTACTTTAAAACATTAGTTGATTTTCAAAAATAAACTAACATCCTTTTTTGATTTTAATTATCGTAATTACAAACTTGAATTGCAATAATTATAATATAATATATTATATTGATTTTTTAAATTACCATATTTTAATTGCTGGAAGCAGCATGATAAGTTATTTATTCTAACATAATTTATTCATATTGTATAATCTTAAGACATTAACAAATTTTGTTTTACTCATCTAATAAAACAGATTATTTAAATTTTAGTTCAATAATTATGTTGAAGGATACTAAATTTTACTAGATTAAATCTTAAGTTTGACAATAATTCTACTTAAACATGCTTTACACTGTAAAGTTTACAGTTAATAATTTTAATAGTAAGAAAAACTTATATTGTTTAATAAATAGAAATATAATTATTAAAATAAAAATGAATGATTACAATTGATTGCCAGATGTCTTAATTAAAGATTTTATACAATTTTATTGGCATAATTTTATTTGTTAATTAATTTTTTTGCAACACATTAAATACATTAAATTTTCTATAATTTGATTTATTTGATCTCTAATTATTAATTTCATATAAAAATATTTAAATTTGATTATAAATATAATTAAATTGAATATTATAGGAGGAAAGGAGAGAATGTCTTCCGATTCTATGATTGTCTTAAAAGTTTCATTATCTCAAGAATTTGATGAAATGGCCAATAATTCCAATCAATCCTTTGCTTTTGAAAATGAAGACGATCTTCAGTTTTATGGCTCAGAATTGACGCGATTTTCCAACTTTTATCGACCAATTCATGGATACCTGAGTTTAGCGGTCTGTGTGTTTGGTATTATCGCAAACGTACTCAACATTATTGTTTTAACTAGGTATTAATTACTTTTGTTTGTTATTAGTAATTACATCATTAGAATATTATTAGACATTTATTTTCAATGAATATTTATTATGGTTTTAGTATTTTAAAATTTAATTTTATTAACAATTAATCATTACTAAATAACTAGTCACTAAATAACTAACAGTACTCTCAGAACTGCTGTAGTATTCAGATAACAATAACTTAGTTTAACTAATCCTTCATAAATTAATAATTTATTACTTGATATGATTTAATATAAAAGTAATACTAAAACAAAAAATTATTTTCTCATAAATATTAATGAATAAGAATGAAATTCATAAATAAGTATATAATTGAATGGATTTAATGATGATTTGACTGAATGGACACAATTAGGAAGAATATGATCTCAGCGACCAATTCCATACTGACAGGGATGGCGGTGTCGGACATGTGTGTCATCGCCTCTTACATTCCGTTCGCAATCCATAACTTCATCAGAACTGAAACGGACGAAGAGGTGGTAAACGCGTACGGGTGGGCCCTCTTCACCCTATTTCACGCACATTTCACTGTCATCTGCCACACCATCTCTATCTGGTTGACAGTGATTCTCGCCTTTTGGAGATATCTGGCCATTAGGTTCAGCCGTTTATTTCATTTCATACCTTAAATAGTTTTTATTGATATTATTCTCGTATACTATTATTTTGATCAAATTATGCAAATCACTGTTCAATAGGGTTTATATATTTAGTATTAATCAATATGTATTAAGTAAATTAGATTTGCTATTTATGTAATGGAAATACATTAATCATAATTTATGAAAACTAAATGAATAAACTTGATTATTGATTATGTTTCAGGTCTCCGCAAAATAGTAAGACGTGGTGTTCAATGAAAAGAGCCAAATACGCCATACTGTGCGCCTATATATTAGTACCCTGCTCATGTCTTCCCCTATTCTTGTCGTTTACAATCAGTGAATTTGATATCGAGAGTAAACCAAATCAAACATTTTTTCGGGTAAGAAGTCATATGAATTGTTATTTGTGTTCACATTATTCTTAATGTATTGAAAACAATTTAAATCACAGCAATGATTAGTAGAAATACTTTCAGTAGATATGTTGAGTTATCATATAATAGATATATAGTACAATAAGCGATCACTTTTGATAACAATTGTTGCATTGAATAAACAAAAATAAAACATGTTTTTAGACCTGAAACTCAATACAAATCGATTGGATTGAGAATTCGTTATTTGATATTTGGTTTATTTTTTCGAGAATAGGAATGATTTTTATTAGACGTTAAATATAGCTTTACATCAATTTTACTTAACATCTATGCATTGTTTTGTGTACTCTCTCTCTCTCTCTCTCTCTCTCTCTCTCTCTCTCTCTCTGAACTCATATTTTGTGATCAAATAAATTCTCAAAATTTTATATGAAAACTGATTTGTGGAATAAATCTCAATTTTTTGACTGAAAAGTGCTTTAAGTGATTGTTGAGTGAAATAAATATCTCGACTCAAAGATAATTTAAATTCAATATAAAGAACATGAAAACTATTATTTGGTTTCACTGATGGATAAATGCCATTTGAAATGAATACTAAAAGCTATAGAGACGGAAGACATGTACTATATTTTCTGCTTTTCTATACAAATCTCCGTTTTCATCAATTTGTGTTTCAAACAAAATATAAATAAAATTTTATTTAAATATTCAGAATATTTAATATCATTAGAATTTTGTTATAACTTTCATGCAAAACAGTTTTTGTTTGCTAGAGTTATACAAATAACAATATTAAATTTGCATTACTGTATCTAATATTTTGTTATATAAATCTTAGAACAAGGTTAATATTACAACACAAAGTAATATAAATCACACAATACAAATTGTAATATATTTTTTATTATTTTAGATATTACTGCAAAAATAAGTCTTTTTTGTTAATTTTAACGTGTTTTATATACAGTATGATCAATATTTTCATTATTTTTATTTATTGTGCCATAATCTTTGAATAAATTGCCGAAATATAAATTTTACATTACATTTCACAATGTTATTCATATTAGAATATTTTATATAATCTTAAGGAATAATTGCGATAAAATAAAACTACAATCTATTCCTTTTCTATAAAATTATTAAAGTGATACTCATTTTAATGAACACTAATTTGAGTTCATATAAATAACCATTTTGGGCCCCAATTCTTATTTAATTGTATTTCATTAAATATTGACTTAGATATATTGCTATGTTTTACAATATACTGAATAAATTCACATAGTTACTATGTCATAGTATATTCCAATAAGAAAAAGTTACTATATTAAAGTGTAGATCCACACATTTTTGTCGAGAATAAATAAATATTGACTTCAATCTAATAAATAAAAGCCCGTTATTCTCAAATGAATTTGAATACTTGATAACATATTTTGCTAATAATACTGTACTTTGATTTTAATGAATTTGTGAGAAGTCTTTATATTTTGTAATGAGTAATTTAGATGAAAAAGTGTTTCCTAGATAAAAATATTATATTAATTAAAATATATTTATATTGGTTAAAAAGTATTAATACGATAAACATGAATAGAAAGTGCAACAAAATGTTACTTGATCCAAACAAATATAACAAAATATTGATTGACAGTAAATGAGATGCCTTTTTGTGTTATCTTAGGTGGACTTCAGTTCAATAGCCATACAAAACGACGAATTGCTACAAAAGCTGAACTTCTGGGTGTTTAGTGTACTCCTAAAACTGATTCCCTGTGTTTTGCTAACAATACTGAGCTTAGCGTTGGTTCGCGTGTTGGTTGAGGCAAACAAAAGGAAACAAAGACTCCTTTCATCCAATATTCCGATGAAGAATCACATGAAGAATGACTCAAACTCTTTGGTGACGACCAATACATCGCCGAAGAATAGCTGCGAAAAAAGCGCTCGTAATGCGAGTCAACAGAGCAGTGATAGGACCACCAAAATGTTGATCGCAATACTGATCATGTTTTTGGTTTGTGAGTTTCCATCCGGAATATTAGCCCTTTTGAGCGGAATATTCGGCAAAATATTCTTTAATAACGTTTACAATAAATTCGGTGATTTGATGGATATGTTGGCATTGATTAACTCAGCCGTCAATTTCGTACTCTATTGTCTAATGTCTCAACAGTTTCGCAAGACTTTTACAAAATTATTTTGTATGAAATATGAGCAGGATAATATGAGACAATCCTACCATTTAACCCAATCGTTCAACGCTACCACTTGTAATACGGCGTGTGTCTGAGTGTCTCAGAGTTTCACTTCACAATCAATTGTTTATTTCATTTTTCATTGAGATATCCATTCAAATGATATATAAAAGGATCAAATCAGACAAAACATACACAGAGTATTGAACACTAGAATTAATGGCAAATTCTAAACACTTTTTCTATGAATAAAAATCATTTTAAGACTTTTGTCCATTAATATAATGAAATGCAGATTACGGGTAAGTCTTGTTTTCTCAATAAATACTTAATGTAATGTAAAGTAAATATTGTATGTACGTTTAATTAACCAAGTTAACAAAATAATTGATTTTATTTAACAAATCCATATACTTGTATGTATTATATTAATATATTGTATATAAAAATCATTAATCTTTTTAATCATTTTGACTTTAATTTTTAAAATCAAATATTCTTATGAGAAATATGTTTATAATATCATTGCCTCCATGTTACATCGAGTAAAATATGAATCAATTATTCATTACAAACAGTTTATGGTGTTTTATAATTTATTTTTATATAAAATGTGCAAGATTTGTATAGATTAATGTGCAAGTTTGCATAAAACTAATGTTAAAAGTTTTAAAGAATATTCATTCATTTATTCATTATAATCCAATAGTAATCTAAATTACTACTAACTTTAAGCGCTCAAATAATAGGATTTATTTGTTTTGTTTTGTTTTTAGTTATAAATTACAAGCAATTAAAATAATGAAAAATCAATATTACGGTTAAAGTTTTGTTAGACTCACTTTTGTTATGAATTCTCTATTCATAAAAACTAAACAAGAATTTCATAAATATTTATATATAAAGTAAATTTTAATTAAAAAAATAAATTATACACATATAGTATATGTCATATACTAAAGATAAAATATAAAATATTGAAATTATTTATATTAATATAGTATTGCTATTTATATAAATATATAGAATATTCTGTAAATTCTATTTATTTGTAACAAATTAATTCTTCCATATATTAATAGACAAGCATTGAATAGATTGTATAAAATATAACTAATATTAAAGAAACTTATTCTATATAGGTGTAATTTGTAAGATTAGTTTTTTATCAGTTTGTCTCAAGGCAGACTTATTTAATGAACCAAATTCATTGTACATTAGTATTTAATTTAAGATTTGTTTGATTTCCTTATAAATACAGTCAAATCATTGATATGATAGTTCAATTCAATAAACTATTTATATAAACTTTGATTCAGTCAAATAAATGTACATTATTTTTGACAACAAAACAAATAATTTAATCATAAAATTGTCAAAAATCAAGAGATACAGCATTGAATGCCATATAAGCTATATTTATCGTTATGTTATCACAATACTTATTGTAATTATGTATAAATAAAATAAAAATAATTAATTTAATTAAGTTTTAATTTTAATAATACATATATAATAGTGATGTGCAAAGGAATCACGTATTTTTGTGAATAATATTTATTTTTTGAAATTTTAGACTTGAGTTCAAATCTCAAATAAGACTTTATTTGAATCAAAATGACTTTCGTTTGAAGTTTTAATCATTTGTTGTTGTATTGTGTCTCTCATTAGTCGTGTTTTTGAATTCTTTCTCTAAACTCTGTTATATGAAAGTCATGTCATATTATTTTAATTAAAGTGAATACTTATTGCGAAATTAAAGTCAAGATTTATTGAAATAGTCAACAATTTGTGCATTTGTATAGTTTTTTGTTTAAACAAGTTATTTATATCATATATTAATAGCGTATACAATGCGCTGGAGATTCAAAGAAACTCATACTTTAGGTAATTATTATATAGATTTATAAAAAAACATTTCCACATAAGACTTGTTGAAATAGATAAATATTATTTTATTAAATAAATATTATGTATAAAGTAAAAATAATAAATACCTGTATAATAAACTTTATGAAATAAAGTCACCAGGAATAGTTGAGTACTAAATGATATTATTATGACAACTGTTTGCAGAGCAAAGAAAACAGGAGTCGACAGAAATGAGGATTAAATACAAGGATCGCATTCCAGTCAGTATATGACATATAGTTGACATACATTTAGTTGTAATTAATTGAATGTTTTGAATGTCTAATTGAAGGTAATCATAGAAAAGTTGCCGCATTCAAACATAACTGAGCTTGATAAGCACAAATTCCTTGTGCCCCACGATCTCACTGTCTCTCAATTCCAGTGGACTATCAGAAAGAGGTGTCAATTCTCGGCCTCGAAAGCCATCTTTCTGTTCGTTGGCCGCACTCTACCGCAGGCCTGGTATCCAATCGTTTGTATTAATTCTGTCATTATTTATAAACTATTTTAGACCTCAATCTCATTATATTGTATAATAGTTTTCCAGTACTTTGTGTTCTTGTTATACTGTATATGAATTTTTATTATATTGTACTTTTAATGCGCTATTCTATAGCAGTGTATATGTGTTGGCTATACTAGAGGTTTATTTTATTTTTATTTTAACACAAATGACTTGTTATAGTGCTCTCATGGGTGAGATATATCAACAGCATATGGATGAGGACGGCTTCCTCTACATTGCCTACAGTGGAGAAAACACTTTCGGCAACTGATCACACCATCAATACTATGATAATGATTATAATTTTCATTTCCTTTTGCAAGGCCATGAAAAGAATTCATTTCAAAACAAATTATTTATTAATACTTTTTTGAGAAAATTTTTTACAAAGAATAAAATATAACACATTTTATAACCTCCACTAACATTTATATTCTAATGAGATTTTTATTAATTTATATTTTAGCCAATGTTAGTAACAAATTAATACAACAGGATTATCAGTGTATAAGTTAGTTTAAACAATAACATTAACAAGTAGGTTTATTTATTGTGGTTCTTAATTAAATAATTTCTTTTTAAGATGATTCGATGAGTTTTAAAATAATATACGGATAAGCAACAATTTATGAATTACGGGTTTTAATTTATAATAATAATGAATGCTGGAGGTATCTAATAATATGTAAAGTTTATATTACTATTTTAAATTACTTGAAGAAATTTTAATTAAATCATAAATTTGTACAAATTAAATTAAAAGGTATTTTGGTTGTTGTCTAACAGTTTTATTTTACAAAGACGTGTTAATCTATTAAATTTGCAATAAAAATATCTACAAATATTAATAATTTGTATTAAATTTTTATATAAATGAATTACTTTCTGCCATTAAATAACAAAACTTAAAAGAAAATATAATATATATTATGATATTCTGTGAATGCATAATATTAATATTAAAATTATTTTATAAAATATTTTGATGGATATAATTTGGATGGAAAAGTGGTTAGAATATTAATGACATGACAATCATTTTATATGAGAATAATATCATAATTGATGGCCAAATGCATTGAAATCTGATACTTAATAATCACTTCATTTATTATCTCTGAATTTAAAATTTAATTTAAGAATTTGTAGTCAAAATGACAAATAAAATATTAGATTTAATATATCATTTTGTTGACTATAATTTGAATGGAAATTCTTTTCAATTATTTATTTACTCTAACATTTGTTAGAAAATAGATAATTAGATAATAAAGTAATTTATTATTGAAAAGATTTCACAAGATTAAATTATACGCAGAAAATATTTACTACACTTTTTTACTATTTGTTTGCTTTGGTTTGAAACAAATGTTATATGTGTTCATTCATTAACTATTCTACTAAATCCAAGACTTTTATCTTTCTCTGAAATCCGGAAAATAAATTCTTTTATTCAAATGTTTTCAGTTATAGTACTGAATGTAAATGAGATGAAATTTGTGTGATTTGGATAAGAAATATAAAAATAATTATTAATTCTGTACTGTATTTTGTAAACCTATATATAGCTTTAGGAATAAGGAACTCGTAGATTCTATATTGAAATTTATAAAAGTAATTGCTCATTTAATTCAAACTACTATAATAAATTAGTTTGATTATAAGAATCTTACTTTTTTAAAAGCTGATTCCTAAAATATAATGTATACAGGAAATTTAAGTATTTTATGTTTATTAATAAATACAAGGAAAAGAAATCAATGACTTTTTTTTATTTAAAAATTGTCTTTTTATTTAAAATACATTTTTAAATTTATTATTAAATGTTCATTAAAAAGTTTAAATTAATATTTTAAAATATTATGGAAAGTTAGAGCAAATAATGAGAATGAAATGAATTAGTAGTGGTTTTGCCAATCAGTGACATAAGCCCTACTCCTAACTGTCGACGGCTTGTATTTATTGGTTGAATAGTTTGAAGAAACTCTTCCATAGATGGGCTCATAAATGGTGTCATTGAGTGATGCATACGGATCCGATTCCGATGAGTTGTAGTAATAAGATTTGGATCTTTTCTTTTTAGTCAATGGAGGCAATAATGTGTTGATATATCCACTGGAAAACACTTTTCGCATCTGACGCCAGGCAACAGACTTCTTGGATTGGGTGGGAACGGGTCTCATGAAGTTGGTTACCCTCGCCTCAAGACCACAATAATACGGATCTTCATCTATAAATACATTCAATGTTATTGTTAACATTGAGTTCATACAAAGGGTTTATACAAATAAATACCTCTTTTATTGCATAACGGCTTCTTCTTAAGCGTCTTCGGAGTGATTGTATAGAAGTCCTCCTCTTGTGAATAGTCTGGGGTCGGGATTTGGATTTGATTTGTGGATAATTTGTGGATTGGATTCTTGTTATTCTTATATTTGCCGAAATCTCTGGGCGGAAGTTTCGGTGGTTTCGGTTCCCTAAGAGTCGACTTCTTGAGTAACGTTCCGTTATTTGCATAATAACTCGAGTCATAAGACGATCCGTTGGCGGGCAGTGAATACGGGTCTTCTTCCCCGTGTTTGTCGTGTCTATCAAATAGTGAGACCCAATCGGGTATTCGCGTGGTTCCCATGTTTGATGACTTTTGTGATTTTTGTCTTATAGTATAGGGAACTGAAACACATTTGTCATTAGACATAAAAATCAATAGAAAGCGGAAAAGTCTTACTGAGAGTGAGTTTGGACTTCAGCAGATCGAGTGCCACGATATTTATGATCATTATATATACGGGAAGATCGAGAATATTAGGACTATTCCTCACGAATGCTATGCATGAGAGGCACTGGTTCTCCAGTTTCTTGCGGTTAGGATAGGCGGACCGGAGCTCACGACTCACATTAGTCTTAAACTTGGTCATATCAAATAATAAATAAGGTTTTTGTAGCTCTAATAAACCATTATTTTTGACAATTTCATTGGAAACACTCGAGTCGGCAAATTCATTTTGAAATGATTTTATGAAAACACTGCACCGACTGTATCGCTTCACCACTATATTCCCCGACTCATCCATTTTGATCCTACAGCCCTTTATAACAAATAAAATAAATTAATTACTAAACAAAAGATTATACAATATTTCATAAATACAGTAATTTATAATAGTAAACAGTGTCAATAATATTCTAAACAAGATTTTATAGTTATGTATTACAAAATATTGTATATATGTTTGCTTAAAACTTATAAAATTCAAATAATTTAATTATGCAAACATTTAAATAAAATGTGTTTTGTTTGTCTTGAATACTTATTTCCGAAAAATTATTTTACAGTAATATCCGTATTATTAAACAAATAAGAGGAACACTTGTCATAAAATGACAGCTAAGAGCTCTTTACTTAAATAATACAATCTTTCAAATGAGTTGAATGCAAATTTAGGCTTTTATAGTTTAAAATAAACATAATCAGGTTAGCTATGTAACTTTTATTAATCCCTGACACATTACTGGCAATTAAAAAGTTTTTTGTCATAACATTTGTGCTGATCAATGATCACATGTATTATATAGACGAAGGGTTGATCTTCATTAAAGGCTTAAAATTTAAGCCATAACTGAGTTATAATAACTCACAAACTTGTGGCATACAAATAAATAGGTAAGCGCCATAATATCATATCAAATGTGTTTAGAGGGAGAATTATATTTAATAATTTTATTACTTTATATTCAAATTGAATTTTCATAACTAAGTTAATGCCATAAAGTGCAAACACAATTCTAGTTTTTAATCATAAATATTGTAATGATGAGGTGAAAACTATTTTAAATGCAAACATACAGAATACTATTTAACAAAATCTGTAAATAATTAGTTTATTTGGTGAGAGTATTATATTATGATATAATGAATTATAAAAAAGAGGGAAAATAAAGAGTTATTTGGAGAATGTGTTTGCGATGTATTGTCTCTCATATAATTAATGTTAACAATTGGGATAAAAGCGTGAAATAAGACGAAACAATCAATTTTCACAAATCATTTATCATAATTACTCACAGTCTCACAACTACTTCAGATTGGATTGAGTTTTTTTTGCTTTTATTTTTATTTTTTGTACACAATATAAATTAAATACTCAAATAAATGGCTGTTTTTATACTATCCTCTCAAACTAAGTTCTCCAAGTTTGTAAAATATTTTATTTTTAAGTGATTCTTTTAAATCTAATTTTAAATCCTTTAATTTATAAGTCAATACAAAGTATATAAAGAAATTGAATTATTTTCGATTAAATTCTTAAACAAAATTCCTTAACGTTAAGAATAAAAATAATGTTAAAAAAGTCAAACAAAATTACTCCAAACCTAAACAAAGTTATATTATAAAAATTATTAAATTTCAAAAAATTATTTAATAATAAATAAATAAAACTATAATTGAAAATTTTTATGTCACCGACAATAGTAATAAGAAATGAAATAGAAATTGGTGGAAATAATACATTATTGCCTCTACGAAAAAATATTTCACTCGTTTGTGTCACATATTATTAACAACTTGTTATTAAACGACATTTTTTAATACAGTAAAAAAGCAAAAGCCGTAAAATAAGTGATGAGAGAGTGATATAAAAAGAGGGTTTCCTAGAGGTATAGGTGGCCGAAATATATAGACTCTATGTTATAGACAAACATATTGCAAATTACTTGTCTCTTATGTTTACTATAAAAACCTGATTCACTTCGTATACTCTACTATTCATTTCGATTTAAATTAATTACAAGTAATCATAATCTCCGGAGAGAAATCAGTGAAACAATAAAATTAAATTATATCCGATTAGAGATTTTATAATAAAATAATATGATTAATACAATCGTATAATTGCCAACACATAACCACTTCCTCTAATGTTTATACGGCTGTGATATTGTATTAAATAACAGATTAGACAATAAAAGCTAACATTAAATAAGCAGTAACTGTTAAATTAAATTTAATATCTGTAATCAAATTTTATAATAAAAGTCAATGTTTTTTCACTGAAAAACACTCGCCATTTCCTCTATTAATTTTGTTTTTGGATTAAAATTGCTTAAAAATTTGTTTCAAGTATTATTTAAATTATCTAAAAGTTTTTGACTTTATATAAGTCATGGCTTGATTTGAATATAGTTAAGATTTGTTTAGTTAAATGTGCAACAAAGTTAAAATAATTAAAATACTTAATTAAGAATTGTTGGAATATTTGTTTCACAAATAATTGTTTAAATGACATTTAAAAGTGTGTGATTGATTTAATGAGTGATTAATTATTTTTTAATATCTAAAAAGCAAATTTATGAAATGATTATAATATTACTGTATATATGAAATATGTGAGTGAAGTATTCAAAGAATTTCATTAATCATGTTTTGAGAGTGAATTTTGATTTTACTAAAAGAATGTAATGAATGCTAAATTGAGTTTAAATAAAAACTAAAAGATTTTTTGTATAAGCGCTGAAAATCAATCATTCATACTGTCACAGGGTATTCAAGATGTGTAACAATACATTTTGGTGACTAAAACAGACTCCAATCAATGGACTTTTATCTAAAATAAAATCTAAAATTTTTATAATTATAGCCTAATTTGAAAATTTTTAATATCTACTTCACTATTAAGAGAAACTATTAAAATAAAAATAAGTGAACAATTTATATAAATTGATTTTTAAGTACTTTCCACTTCTAACCCCTGCCTTGAAATAGTATTGTTTGTATTTATTGAAATAATATAGACTTCAGCTCATAGTTACGGTAAATTCATTTTTATGTTATCTCTGAGAAACAAAATTCCGTATGAATTACAGAAAATATTTCGAGACAAATATAGTATTAAATATAAGTTAAGTATAAATAATATATTTGCGTTTCATATAAAAGCAATGGTAAGTATATTTTACTTTTCCTATATATCGCATCACTTCTTCGGTCTTGACGTCAAGCAAAGGATTTTCAAATCCATTTAATCCGATTCTATAGCCATCGAAGCCGTCGTGTGAGCCATCAATGGTAAGTACAGGTGCCCTGGCGTAGGCCTTGGCTACTCTACGTTTGCCATTCATGCAAATCACTTTCGCCCAAATTTCGTCGTCTATTTGTTCCCATTTATTAAACACTTCTTGGATGTGATCCTTCAATGTATCAACAATTTACACAAATTAATATACATTGTATAGAATTGTGTTATAAATAAATTCATATTAATTATATTCCATCGATAACAGTATAAATTATTTTTAATATTTGTAAAAATATAGTATTGAAGCTCTATTAAATTAATGCATTCTTGATTTATTTTTAATACATTTTACTACAATGATTGTAGCAAAATAGATAGTCTATTTTATTATAAATAGATAATCTATTAAATAAGTATTACAACAAAGTAATACATTATATAAATATTCAATAAAATAGATTATATTTATGGGTATATTTTATGAAATTATAAGTCATATTTTTGTTTCTTTTTTGAATCACTATTTAATTTGGCATTCATTTCATTGCATAAAGTCATTGATTACACAACTCCTTAATAGTTAAAGAGTAGGGTTTAGACCTTCTCTTCACTTAAATAGTATTCTTATATATATTTATGAAAACACATAATAATAAAAATAAAAAATAATAATAAATTTGTGTCGAATATGAAATGAATTTCTTGTGTCTTCTATATATGGGTCTATAAAGAAGATTCTGAATCATTAAAGTAGGAGTCAGTCCTTTAAATTTAAATAATACTATAATTTTATTATTCAAAACCAAGTCATCCAAGGCTTGTCTGATCAGCCCTTTCGCTAAACAAAAACCTTTGCTTCAAAAAGGAAAACAATAAATCGGCAAAATAGTGATTATACTTTGAAAAATTGCTTTTCCCAAAAGTACTCTGTATCGAAAACTAAACTTAACTATAAAATTGATTTTCTAGACTAAATGTATTGAAAGATATTTTTGGAGAAATAGTGATTGTTTACCGCAAAGAGTTCCTCCTTTGAGTGCCAAACAGTCTTCTCCTCATCGAAAGGCTCCAAATATTCTCCCAAATAATCGCACGGATCGAGTGAACGAGAGATAATCCGTCGCCGGCTTATCATTTGAATAGTTTTTTAAAAACACTTTCCAATCACAAAATATACACAAATATATTCAAAACAAATATATATAAAGTATATAAAAGAGTTGATATAAAGTTTTGAACACTTCACGCAAATAGTGAACAAATACAATATAAAGCTGTTAACAGTTATCTAAGCGTTTGAATGGTTACTAATGATTGCGAGGAATAAGCGTAAGAATAAGACTCACTATTCGTCTCATTGAGAAGTGTGTAAGAAATAGGTCAACCATCTCCTATCCCTCTCCCACCTCCAACCTCTACAATCCATACCTAACGGGTGACCTATTTTGCTGTTAAGTACACAAACAAACACTCGTTTGCAATACTGTTAACTCGTTTATTATAGCACTTGGAATCGTTTTAATGTATTACAGACACAATCACCAACGAATTGATCGCTTTTCAAATCTAATGTCAAATAAACGATAAATTTATATAATTTCTTATCCAATCGATTATACAAATAAGGAAAGCAAAGTCACTAACTTATCGGTTGAATAATTTTTTCAATGATTCCCTAAAAATCATTTATTGGTTTTACAACGTCTAAATATAGTTATATCGCAAATCGCGTTTAAATTGTTTTAAACCTCATTATAGGGAATACAATATTTTCATTTCGTTGGACTTGATTTACATTATTTGTTTGAAGTTTTATTGATTTAAATAAAAGTTTCATTTTTTATATGCATAGTCATTTGCATCATAGTGCATTTTATTAAATATTCATATAATTATGAATCTAAAAATAAATTCTAGCATAAGTCAATGTGCATTAAAACTTTTTATAAATTGTCTTAAAGTAGTGTCTCAATACATTATAATTGGTTTGAATTTTGCTTTTTTGTGACATCTAAGTGTTGTGATAAAAAGTAATAAATTAAAAGTTTTTAGCAAAAATTGTTGACAAAAATTGGTGACAAATATGACAAATCATATCAAACATAATGAATCGAGTCATTGGGTTTGTAAATCTCATTAGTTTTATTGCTTTGATTGACTCTAATATAGTGACAACTTTCTAAATATAACAAAATAATTGTTTTCAAACTTATATATTGTATTATATGAACATTAATTATATCCGTTTGGCTTCACTTCGTTTTATTGAAATAATGTTGAAAAATAATTAAATGAATTATAACGACAATTAAAGTCGTGTCACATAACAAACTAGTCATTCAAATCTTATGCAATATTCAAATGAGAGAATATCTATATTTTTTTCTAACTAACCATAATATAAAGTGTATTGAGTCCTAAAATATAAATTATCACATTTACACTTCAATTCACCCATAAGTTTTTGCACAAATATTAGTACATTTTGCAAACTATACAGAGTATATAATTTTGTTTTTATTGATTGCCTTAATTACTATTTTTTCAAAGTGACAATCAACCGGTAACTTTTTGATTATTTAATCCAATATTTTATAAGTTAAAATATACTCCAATATCGTGTCTAAACATAAATCCAAAAAGCAAACTCAAAAAAGTGTTATAAACAAATTGTAATTAAATTATTTTTGTACTAAAATAATTTTTAATAAACTTTTTATGTTATATATTAATATTAAATGATATATAAATAACTTGAGTAGGTTTAAATTAGTAACCATATATTGTACTTTTTGCAAAATAAAAACTTCAAAAAGTGAATTTTTAATATAATTTGTGCCCATTTTTAATAAGTTTTTCATAACTTTCAGAACTATATTCAGTTTATAACATTATATAACTTTGCATTTTAATAACTTAGTTAAAGCAAAAACTTTCAAATGTTTTAAACACATTTTCTGTAAAACAAACAATAAATGCATTTGAGATTTCAATTGAATACGGACTCAAAATTAGTGATAAATGGCATTCAAATGAAATGTTATGGCAATGAATTGAAAATATAAGTTAGACTAAAATAAAGTGCACAAACTTTTCTTGTTTACTCATAAAAGCGGAGCTAATGTGTGGAAAAAGTAAACCATTGAATGAATGCATTGAAAGTGTCATCTGATAATGAAATGAACGATAATATCGTGAATGCATTGATTGAGTAATTGACACGATTTGACCGCAAATCCCAACCAAATATATGGGAGAAACTGATTGAACGGTAAACTCAACGAAAACTTATGGTCCAAAAGCTTGGATGGAGTGAAGCAGTGGTCGCAGGGATGCAGTGGTTGTGCGCATGTGTTGTACTCGTCGTACGTCTGGTTGTGTTTGTGTTGACATTAATGGCGATCAGTGTTCAGATCACAACCACTGAGCGCATCCATAGTCACCACTAACTGATCCCTGAATTGCGTGCACACGATGTCTGCGCCGAAGCCGACTGTTGGCCAGTCGTTCCGGATGTCTGAAGGCGACTGGATCTGTGAGGACCAGAACTGTCAGAACATAAACTTCGCGCGAAGAATGTCTTGTAATCTGTGCGGTAAAGACAAGCCATTGGACGCACGGCTCAAAGACAAAGAGTCGGCCTCTAAGGAGAGCGCGGAGAAGAAGCGAAAGGTGGGCCACGAGATCGGGAAAGTGGCCGCAGAGAAGTCGAAGGGCCTCTTCTCGGCCGACGACTGGCAGTGCGGACGGTATGTGTGGTGTTGTGGCGATTGATGTTGAGATAATGGGATGTGTTGACTGCCATCAGGTGTGGTAACGTGAATTGGGCGCGAAGGTCGACCTGCAACATGTGTTCGGCGCCTAAATTCAGTGACAACGAGGAGAGGACCGGTTTGGGCGGCGGCTATAATGAGCGCGAAGAGCACGTCGAGTACAAGCAGAGGGCTGACGACAGCGACGATGAATACGACGACTTCGGACGCCGTAAGAAGAAGGTCCGCAAGAGTGACCACAAGCCCGACAACGACACCAATTCCACTCATAATAGAAGTGATGACAACTCAGCCGATGATAATCGAGACGATGAGGAGGGCGACGACGATGAGGATGACGACAGCGCAGACGTCTCTAAGTATAAACTGGAATCGGATGACGAGGACGAGGAGGACGACGGCGACGAAGACCTCTCTAAATATGATTTGAGTGATTGTCTCGAAGACAAGAAGTAGTGTTTGGTTTGGGTTTACCTCTCGTTTCATCGTTTAATGGATTTTCTAAACTAAACTTATATTTAGTTTGAATTTCTTTTTTTCTAATTTAATTCAACAGTCATTTAATTGTTATGCATTTTATTTCATTAATATATTAGAATTAAATCATCAATTCATCGACAAATCATTTTTGCATTAATAAAAAGTTTTTTCAAACAAATTCCTATCCATTAATTCATTTACGGGTAATTCATTTTAATTGAAACCTGGTCTCTACTATTAAATAGTAGTTAATCACTACAATAGCTCTTAAGTTATCTATAATTTAAACATGTGGACAGTATAGATGTGCATTGCATTTGTATCCACCAATAGGTCTATGACCCAGTGGTCTATCACCACAACCAATGGATACTGTGATACAAAATATATTGCAATGAGGACTCAAACTATCATTTAGATAATTCACTGTTTACTTGATCCTCGCATACAATTGATGTGAAGTATTGATCACAGATATAGGACACCTACCAATTGGCCTGAATAGTGGCCAATACCTACACCAGTGTTTGCCATAGGATTGACTGCAATGTAAAGGGTCTCGAAAATCACGTGACTTTGCGATTGAGAGTAGAGTTGAAAACAACAAAACATTGAATTTCTGAGCGATTGTGAGCTCTGTTTGCAGACATCTTCGGCTGTG